GTGGCTGCTGGCCGTTCACGCTGGCTGCTGGCTACACATGGTAGCCCATGGCAACCCACTGCCACAGGGGCTGCAGCCTACGCTGTCGCCCGGCGACTCACAGCAGCCCAGCTCCGGATTGAGCTATTGTTCAGCATCTTAGCTGTAGAGGGCAGTGTCACTGGCCCTCATATGTGGGATCCGAACCAGGGCCCTCTGGCGTCCCAAGACAGTTCTTAACCATTGCGCCACTCGGCCGTCCCTTGATATTTCTTTAAACAAAAGCACTATGGATAATTAGAAATAGTGGATACTAAAAAATAAAATAGCTTTTTGCATTTTGCTGGGGTTTTACTTATATTTTTAGATGATTATGTGTGATCTGGGCATTTACTTTAAATGAAATGAAAAAGCTACCCTGTGAAGAGCTAATTTAGTAAAATCTTGGAGGCTTTCCAAATTCTGACACCATGGGCTCTTGTGAAGGAATAGACCCCTTGTTTCACAATAGTGTGTTATGCTACCCCAAGCCTTGCTAGCTCTTCTTAAAGGATTTTCTCCTCCGAGGTAGGAGATAGTCAAGATATTTGGTTCTAGAATGTTTATTTTATGCAGTGTATGCTGAATATAAATTAAAAGTAAATAGAAGAAGGAAAAATAATAGCGGGCACTAACTGACTAAACTTAAAATCTATAATTACTCAAAATTCAGTCAGTTCACTAACTAGCAAATAAGAGTATGCAAAGATGTCAGGGAACAAATACAAACACCTTCATAATTCTGTATTAAATGCAAATTAGTGCAATTTTTATTAACCTAAGATTTTATTTGTAATCTTTCTACAATACCAAATTTAAAATTAGCTCACGTTATCCTAAACTCATTCAAAAAATAAAAAGTAAGCAATAACAATATGTATAATAATATATAGTTGGTGCTATCAGGATCACGAGTATAAGCAAGATGCCCTACCCTATCATCTGACTAGGGAAATGAGTTCCACACCTGAAAATTTCACTGGCAATGTAAGGAAGGCAATTTATGATTAAGTACCAAACATATTGTGTATATAATAAATACTGTAAAATTTCAGGAAGGACATGTAATAGGAGTGATTACGGTTGGCCTAATGGAGAAGATAGGACTTGTTCAAGGGCTAGAAGGGTGGATGGGATTTACTTCTATATAGAGGTAGGATATTCTGGTTAGAACAATGATGTGTGCAAGGGTACAGAGATAGGAATAAATAAAAAGCTGGAATTAAGTGATCCTGTTTGAGATTGCTTAGTAGTAAGGCTACATAAAAGCTAGAATCATTATTTGGAACTAGATGATAAAGAACCTTGAATAACCAGTGAAAGAGCTTGGAGACTGTGTTGTGAAGGTAACAGAAATGCAACAGTTCCTGAGAGGAGTTTCTTGAAGGAGGAGAAACTAGAGACAGTATTTTAATATTCTAATGTCAGATATTAAGGATCTGAGTTTAGATAATAGCAATGAAAATAAGTGGGGGCCAGCCAAGTGGCGCATTGGTTAAGAGTTGGCTTGGAACGCCAGCTCTGAGTAGCAGGGCCCTGGTTGGTTCAGATTCCACATGAGGGCCAGTGATGATGTGTCTTCTACAGCTAAGATGGTGAACAACAGCTCGACCTGGAGCTGGGCTGCCATGAGTTGCCAGCGATGGGCATAGGCTGTAGTGGGGCTGACCGGCAGCTGGCGTGCGCTTTAGTGTGCTGCCATGAGCTGCCTTGAGTGGCCGTTCAATGGCCGGGTAGCGACTGCCTAACCCAGGAAGAGCACAGTGATCACAGTACCAACATGGGCCAGTGAAGCGACATCCTCCACAACTGGACTGAAGAACAAAAGGACGGGAACTTGCCCGTTCCCCTTCCCCGATTCCCCAACGCTGTTCCCTCCCCCAATTCCCCAATAAAGTATTCTTTTAAAAAAAGAAAAAAGCAATAAGTGGGAAGAGATGAAGTTAAAAGATAGTCCCAAATGAAAAATTATCAGTTTTTAGAAACTGAAAGCATATGGGCAATAAGGGAAAAGTCAAATATGACTTGAGGTTTCAATTAATTTCAGATCCCTAGTTGCTTCTCATTTTTTACCCTAATCATCTGACTGTATTTTTATTTAACAAGTAGCATTTTGTACTTTCTATTTTTAAAATGGATTAATATCACAGTCTACTTTCTATGGGAAAATACTTCAACCTTGTCTTTGAACTCTTAGAAGTAATTTAGGGTATTAAAAATTGTTATAGAGACAATTAGCTGGATTTTTCCAGTGACACTGAAAGAGCTTTGAGATAAGAAATAGGCACAAAGTAGGAAGTGTAGTCAGGTAATTACTACTTTCTGTTGAAATCCCCAAAACTTGGGATAAAGCTTCTTTTATGCCAAAACAATGGTAGAGTTTGCCAAGGTTTGTCCTAACCCTGTCAGTAGAGCCTGACTTACCTGTCTCTCAACCCCCGACCCCCTATTGGAAAAACTGCTGTTGCGTCTTTGGATCTGTTTTACTGCTGATAAAACTGGATTGCTTCTAAAATTGTTTTATATGCTATCTTCACCAATCTGATTGCTTTCAGGCAAGCTGATGAAGAATTCCAGATCCTGGCAAACTCCTGGCGATACTCCAGTGCATTTACCAACAGGATATTTTTTGCTATGGTGGATTTTGATGAAGGCTCTGATGTATTTCAGATGGTAAGACCTTTCGTTTATTCTGTTAAGTAGGAGTAGGCAACTGTGGATAAAGTGGAATATGTCTTCAGTGACCACAAAAACTTAAATAACACTTGTCTTATGTAAGATCGAGAGTCGTTAGTGAAATAAAAGCTAAACTGTAGCTAACCAGGAAATGTAATGGTCATTATAATATAATATGGAAATTGGATAGTAATCAAGTAACCTATTATAATATGGAAATTGGATAGTAATCAAGTAACACACACATTAAAATATAAAACGCTATCATTTTAACCGTTTTAGTGTACAATTTATCAAGTAACTTTTCAAATCACAGCATGAATCCATTATTATGCCACCATTGTAATATCAAATTTCTTAGTAGAGCTAGGTACCTGTCTTTACTCCTTGCTTCTTGTCTTAGTGGAAAATCTTCTTGTTCAAAACTTAACTCTTTTTCTGTGCCCTGGAGCCTATACCCACCCACTCTATCAATCATGACCTCTCTCATCTACATTTTTTTTAAAGATTTTTTTGGAGAATTGGGGAAGGGGAACAGCCAAGTTGTTGTCCTTTAATCTTAGTTGTGGAGGACACAGCTAGCTCAGCTCCAATTCCAGTCGCCATCTGGCCGCCCGTAGGCAGCTTTCTGCCGCTAAGCTCAAGGTGCCGTGTTCAATCTTAGTTGCAGGTGGGCGTAGCCCACCATTCCATGCTGAAATCGAACTGGCAATGCTGTTGTTAGGAACACATGTTCTAAACAGCTGAGCCATCCTGCCATCTTTTTGCAGCTCAGTGGCAGCTCAGCTCGGGTCCGGAATCGAAGCACTGCTTGCTCAGAGCTCACACCCTTGAGCAAACTCTTAACCAGCTGAGCCACTTGGCCGGCCCCAGTCCTGTATTGTTTTTAATTACGACTGTTTTTTTAGAGCATCTTAAGGTTCACGGCAGAATTGAGGGGTACATACAGAGATTTCCCATATACTCCCGCCCCCACACATGGATAGCTTCTTCCATTATCAGCACCCCCAACCAGAGTGGACATTTTTTACAGTTGATGAACCTACATTAACACATCATAATCACCCAAAATGTACAGTTTCATTATGGTTTACTCTTGATCTTGCACATTCTACTAGTTTGGACAAATCTGTAATAACATGTATATATCGGTATAGTATCATAAAGAGTGTTTTCACTGCCCTAAATGTCCTCCATACTCTGTCAATTAATCCGCCCTCCCTAACTTTTGGTAACCACTAATCTTTTTATTGTCTCAATAGTTTCGCCTTTTCCGAATGTCATTAAGTTAGAATCGTACAGTATGTGGACTTTTCAGATTGCCGTCTTTCACTTAGTAATATTCATTTAAAGGCCCTCCATGTGTTTTCATGGTTTAATAGCTCATTTCTTTTTAATGTTGAATAACATTCAATGGTCTGAATGTACTAGTTTATCAATTCACATACTAAAGCACATATTGGCGGCTTCCAAGCTTTGGCAATTATGAAAAAACTATACCCATCTGTGTGCGGGTTTTTGTGCAGATGTAAGTTTTCAACTCCTTTGGGTAAATACCAAGGAGTGCAATTACTGGATCCTATGGTAAGAGTATGTTTAGTTTTGTAAGAAACTGCAGAACTGTCTTTCAGTGTAGCGGTACCATTTTGCATTCCTAGAAGCAGTGAATGAAAGCTTCCGTTGCTCCGCATCCTCACCTGCATTGGTGCTGCCATGTTTTGCATTTTGGCCATGCTAGTAGGTGTGTGGTGAGTGTGGGCTCACTGTTTTCATTTGCATTTCCCTGATGACATATGTAGAACATCTTTACACATGCTTATTTGCCATCTGTGTAACTTCTTTGGTGAGTTGTCTCTTAAGGTCTTGTGCTCATATTTTAAATTAAATTTATTTGAATGACAATGGTTAGTAAAATTATTGGGTTGTCGGAAAAGTCATGACGTATTTTGTCTATGTTCTTCAAAGGTCATATATTTATATAAAGAACAAAGATCAATCAATGATATATTGCCCATTTTGTTCGATAACCTTTTGCCATCTTTCAGTAGGCTTCATAATTCCTCGTTCATAGAAGCACCTGTCTTTATTTGTGAAGAACTAAACAAAGTGCTGCTTTGCAGCCTCAGCTGAATTGAATGTTATACCATGCAAGGAGTTTTGAAGAGAGGGAAACAAGTGGAAGTCTGATGGCACAAGGTCAGGCGAGTATGATGGCTGTGTGGCAACACATCCATCCAAGCTCCAATAATTTTTGACGGGTGATCAAACTTGTGTGTGGTCTCACGTTGTCATGATGGAACACAACTCCTTTACATTTAACAAGCTCTGGACATTTCTGGATGATGGATTCGTTCAAACTGTCCAGTTGCCGAAAGTACATGTTCAAATTGATGGTTTGGTTCCTCAGTAGGAGCTCGAAAAACACGACATCTTTAAAATCCCACCACACTGAGAGCATAACCTTACTCTGATGAATGTCTGCTTTCGATGTCATTTGAGGCAAATCATCACATCAGGACCAAGACCATTTTCACACCACATTGTTGTCAACAATCCACTTCTCATCACCAGTTATCATTCACTTCAAAAACAGATTGTTTTCCTCACGTTTAATGAGCATATTGCAGATGTTTATACGCGCCGTCAAATGAACTTATTTGAGTTCATGTGGAACCCAAATATCAAGCTTGCTTACGTATCCCAGCTTCTTCAGGTGGGCGTGAACACTTGAATGATGGATGTTCAATATTTCTGCAATCTCTCATGTCATGTAACGTGGGTTTGACTCGATCAATGCCTTTATTTTGTCGTCATCAACCTCGGTGGGCCTCCCTGACTGAGGAGCATCATTGAGATCAAAATCACCAGCACGAAATTTCATGAACCATCGTTGGCATGGACGTTCTTGTAGAGCATTGTAACCGTAAACTTTATGCAACTTTTCACAAGCTTGACGCACATTCTCCCCTTTATGGAAGTAAAACAGTAAAATATGGCAAAAATGCACAGTTTGGTCTTCCATCTTCAACTTGTTGTAAAATCTCCAAAACTCAACCAAATCACTCAGGTTTTTTTAGAATGAATCTAGAACTGTCAGTTGTCAAATGACATGGCAATAACATACATGCGAATGACTGTAGTACTTCCAAAAATGAACTAGTGTCATCTGTCGCAAACATGCACATGACTGTAGTACTTCCAAAAATGAACTAGTGTCATCTGTCGCAAACATGCGCCATGACTTTTCGGACAACCCCATACATAGGTTTCAAGTGTACTATTCTATAATATATCATCTCTATATCATTGTGTGTTCACCACCCAGTGTCAGTTCTTAGCCCGTCACCATATATTTGACCCCATTTACCCTCTTCTACCATCCCTCTCCCCCCTAACCATCTGGAAACCACTAAACTATTGTCTGTGTCTGTGAGCTTTTGTTTCTTCATTTGTTTGTCTTGTTCTTTTGTTTTCAGTTTTATATACCACACATCAGTGAAAACAAATGGTTCTCGACTTTTTCTGTCTGACTTATTTTGCTTAGCGTAATATACTCAAGATCCATCCATGTTGTTGCAAATGGCACTATTTCCTCTTTACTTTGGCAGAATAGTAGTCCATTGTATATATATGAGTGTATACCACATCTTTATCCAGTCATTTATTGAGGACACTTTGGTTGTTTCCATGTCTTGGCCACTGTAAATAAAGCTGCAGTGAACTTCAGAGCACATACATCTTTTACAGATAAATGTTTTCAGATTTTTTGGGTACATACCCAGGAGAGGGATTGCTAGGTCATATGGTAATTCAATTCTTAATTATTTTTTAACTTTATTGGGCAACAGTGTGTTTTTCCCATCAGATCCAAGTCAAGTTGTTGTCCTTCAATCTTAGTTGTGGAGGGTGCAGCTTAGCTCCAAGTCCAGTTGCCGTGTTCAATGTAGCTGCAGGGGGCGCAGCCCACCATCCCATGCAGGAGTCGAACCTGCAACCTTGTTAAGAGCACACGCTCTAACCAACTGAGCCATCTGGCCACCCACTGGCAACTCACCTGCAGCTCAGCTCAAGTCCTTGTCTTCAATCTAGTTGCGGAGGTTACAGCTCACTGGCCAATGTGGGAATCGAACTGGAAACCCTGTTGCTCAGAGCATGCGCTCAAACCAATTGAGCCACACAGCCGCCCCTATTCTTTTTTTGAGGAACCTCCACACTACCTTCCATAGTGGCTGAACCAGTCTGCATTTTTGCCAGCAGTATATGAGGGTTCCTTTTTCTCTACAGTTTCTCCTACACTTGCTACTGTTAGTCTTGTTGATGATATTCTAACATATGTGAGGTGATATCACATTGTGGTTTTTATTTGCATATGTGCCCATTTTTAATTGTTTTGTTTAATCTCTTACTGTTGTGTTTTAAGATTTCTTTGTATATTTTAGATAACAATTGTTTATCAGATGTGTCTTTTGCACAGTTTTACTCCCAGTCTATTTTCTCACTCTCTTTGTCTTTCACATAGCAGAAGTTTTTAAGTTTAATGAATTGCAACTTATCAATTATTTATATAATGGATTGTGTCTTTGGTGTTATATCTTAAAAGTCATCCATAGGGCTGACCGAGTGGCTCAGTTGGTTCGAGCACTAGCTCTGAGCAACAGGGTCGCCGGTTCGATTCCCACATGGGCCAGTGAGCTGCGCTCAAGCTGAGCTGCTGCTGAGCTGGTGAGAGCACATGTTCATAACAACAAGCTTGCCAGTTTGACTCCCACATGGGATGGTGGGCTGCCCCTTCCTCCCCCTGCAACTAAGATTGAACATGGCACCTTGAGCTGAGGAGCCGCAAGCTGCTGACTGGCGACCACATGGCGCAGTATGCCACAAGGTTGCAGGTTCAACTCCCTCATGGGATGGTGGACTACACCACCCACACCCCATCGCAACTAAATTGAAAATGGTGACTGTACTTGGAGCTGAGCTTGCGTCCACTACAACTTTTG